GTGCCCATATATTTTGGTAGATGTAATTAAGGGCGTGAATGAATGTTTTGAAGATGAATGGAGCTCACCTTGTAGGCTGTAATTACATCGTGGAACCTGTCATGCGTATACAAATACTAACACGTTCTTTACTGTAGACAGACATTCAGATGTCATTGTCATTTATACAAATCATCGAAATATTTCATAATTAAAGAATATTTTGTGGTAATATTGATGGTTATAGTTGTGTCATTATTTTTTTTAATAGTTTTTTTGAAGATTATTCCCCATGCTTATAATATGACAATGAAAATCAGACTATGTTTGATTGTCTAAAATTAATATGTGTGTGAGGGTGTGTTCGTGTGAGTGTGCATAATAGGGACTTTTAGATTCGCACGAAGACAATGGGGATTGCTACGGTCGACGTCCTTTTAATGCACTGCCTTGAATGGACGTCACACGTATCAGTTCACGCAAATCTAAAAGTCCCTATCATATACATCTCACAGCGTCATTAGACGGACATCTGGTGAGAAAATGAGTCATTAAGTAGACATGGTCATTAGCAGGACATTTTTTTGTCTTGTTAACGATTGAACAATAGGATATCTGCCTTCTACATAAGTTTGCAGGCAGAGGAAGCTTAATTAAGGCCTCCCCCAAAACAATAGGTTTAATCATTAGTTGAATTAGTTTTATTGTTTTGAATTTAGGTTTAGGGTTAGGTTTAGGGTTATGGTAAGGGTAATATACCAGTTGTTATGATGTCCTGTTAATGTTCATTTAGGGGTATATATAGATGTCCGGTTAATACAACATATAGGGTTATAACTCTTTCGGGTACATGGACATCATGCAAATCATAATCCTAACCCTAATCCTAACCCTAAACCCTAACCCTTAAACTTGTCTGTATAATTGTTGTTCTCCTTATGACAATGTCTACTTAATGACTCACCTTTTCACTCCGAATGTACGTCTAATAACGCTTTTAGATATTTACTTAAATATCCATGTTGAATCAATTCTTTTGCTACACAAGTTAGAATACCCAAAATATATATCTTTTAAAGAAAATTCGATTCTAATATCAGTCCTCCGGCTTGGTTTCCTGAGAATGTCGTATGTTACACTACTTAATGGCACATCGCTCGAAAGTAAAAGAAGTAAAAAAAAACCGCAATACCACATAAAAATTTGAGATTTCTCGGTGAATTTAATCACCTCATTAATACAAAAATCACGTAGTAACCGGCGGCTGGGGATTATCATTTGATTGATCTACTATGCGATGTGCGGCCCCGCTCACACACTAGCTTTATGTAAAGCAGAATTACGCACGACTACATGCATTTTTTTCTCAGATAGGTGCAATCCTGGGGTGAGCGCGCCACGCCACTGAACGGTAAAATATCTAAAACGACTAGAGCCTGGTACATCATCTGATCGGCGTAAGCGATCATTCGTTATATATATATATATTGACCATGCGAAGAATACGTCAAATCATGTAGAATTGCGGAAATGTAGATCAAATAATGACACCCCCACAAAGAAAAAGATTGCGAAAAAAATGCAGTAAGAAGGCGAAAATACTGTTTAACGGACCATGAGGCTCTAATTGTAAATTCTTGTACATATATTTTTTTCTTGGTGTGTTGACTATGCAATTTGTCTATAATTATACTTATCCTGTAGTTCGATATAAAAGGATAAAACACTAGAAAAACGTTCATGAAATCATAAATATAAAATCGTTACCGTAAACACAATTTAGACACGTTGACTTTTCAGAACAATTTGATATATTTGGGGTTATGGCGAAATATATTTGTCAAAATTATTTTCACGGTTCAGCAGCTAATAGCACTTTTAAAAAGAGCAAATAACTTTTCTGATTCATTAAAACATGTTCCTGAAGTATATATGAATAAACTAATCTCTAAGATATTTTCGACTGCATCCATTACAAAAATGTTTTCAATAAGCACTTAAGACTTATGAACGATTCAAAGGTTTGTTTTTCAAAGTAAAAGCAAAAATCGTTAATAACAATTTAAGCTTTGCATTATAGATTGAAATATCGTGATGGAAATGCTAAAAATAAGAAAAAGCTTTTAACGGATCTTAAAGAAGTGTTTAACGCACTTTTATTCATCATCGTCATTTTTGGATCGGGCTCTTACAACTTTGGGGAAAAGGAATACTTTCAAAATTAGCCCACCCCCGTCAAAACAGGGCGAAACGGGGGAGGGGGGGGGGGAGGTGCAAGAATATATTCTATCAACAAAATATCCGTATGATTAGGGGAGATATTCTGCTTAAAAATATGAAGAAGGAAAGCTTTGGTAAATAATAGCATAAATAAGAGACGTAAAAAGTGATTTGGACGAATTGAATTTAGATTCATTTATTCAAACAAGAAAATACAAACGGATTTAGAGTAGGAAAAAGGGTAACGTAAAAGGTACAAATCTGGTCTATAGTATATAGTAAACAAATATAAAAGAGTTACCTTTTCACAGTGTGAGTTTATACATTGAATATTTACAACAGACTAATTCCCTAGTATTTCCATGTATTACCTCTCGCCGCGGTTTTGCAATAAAGTAATTAATTAATTCATTTCGGAGAGGCGCTGTCCACGAATGAATTAGTATTCTAATCTATATCTACGATTTTTATGATCCATTTGAAAATTGAATTACGCTCACTGGAGCTTGTTATTTTCTTTGTGTGGGTGTGTGGTGAGGATATGTGTGCGTGTGTGTGTGTGTGTGTGCGCGCGTGGATGTGTGTGCTCATCATTCAGATTCAAGAAATTCAAATTCATAATGATTTGCTTAACTCCATCATTATACTTGACGTGTTCTTTGTGCATATACAGTTTGTAACTTATAACGTTTTTTAAAAGTCAAGGACATACTCTTTCTTCTCCACCCGTTAGACCTCAGTTTCTAGGAAAATATGAATTCAGAAAAAAACTGTATAATAATAATAATAATAATAACAACAATAATAATGATAATAATAATAATTATAATAATGATAACAATAATAGTAATGATTAAGTTATCAATATGATTTAGTCTGCTTTATGCATGCATATGCCGCATGCTAACGAACTAAACAAAAATAGCAACAACAAGAGGTAATCGTGTGTGCTTTTGATATTTTTATAACGATGAGATAATTATATTAATGTTAATACTGGAAATGAAACATAAGTTGTTTTGGTTTCTGCAGGAGCTTCCCATGATACAATTAGTATCACTGTCTCACAGCCTCGCAGAAGCGATGAACAATATTTATATGTACCTCAACAATAATTATACTTCCCTTAGATTTGATTCCCTTTCCACGAAAATGGATATGAATTCTTCGACGCTACATTAGGTAACGCCTGCATATCGTTAGAATCATCGCTGTGTTCATAATTTGAAGGCATCTGTACAAACATTACAAGCGATCTAATTAAACCCCGAGCAATATGCACTCGAATCGCAAATGCAGTGAAGTGAACAGATAACGATCATATTCTCGCCTTCTTTCCTTGCGTAACCTGCCCAAACACGTCGGAAATGTGTGAAAATATGAATTTCAACCTACTCGACATTATTATGCAATGTTCGGAGATGGTGATATTCATTGCAAACGTATCTAATTTGTATACAATATAATAGTGCTTTTTAGTGTTACAAAACCCTTATGTATGCTGGTGAAGTATATTACATAAGTCACTCCTAGATACTTATCAAAATGATTGGTCTAGCATCGTCACATGTGATTGATAAACTGTATGCTACATATTGAAATCTCCCTGTGCCACATTGTTCTTGTCATGTGGTAGATGTGTTAAAAAAGGCTTCAAGATTGCTGAAATTTTTAAAGGGAAAGATTAATCTGACTCTCTAAATCTATTTGGCTTTTTCAGAATAACAGAATATTCATTATAAGTAACTTACTAACATTGTCGTGTGCAAACTCAAATTCAACAGATAAATGATAATAATGATATGTTCATATATAGCACTCTCAACCAACTGGTTTTCACAGCGCTTTAAGAAGAAGAAAGACAACAACAACAACAACACCTTATTTCCTAGACTACCGGTAAACATGTTTATTCGCTCGCTGAAAATTAGCAGCTGTGGGACAAAATATCACGAATTTTATAACAGCATAAAAGTTATTTTTGGACAAATCAGCCTAAATTTTTGATCAAATCGCGAGGAAGCGCTCTTAATAATTCATAAAATGTGCACTAAATTCCCCTTTTTTAGAGTTCCGTAAATAATGTAGATCTTTGACAAAACAAGCTGTTAGGTGGGTTGCCGAGTGTGTTTTATAATGTATGATTTAGGATGAAGAACCTGCCGTGGAGGAAGGCATGTCTGAGGTTGATAACTATACTCAGACGACGCGAGAAGCTGTGAATTTTCCCACCGCGCAGACACCTGCCGCAGCTGAGCGATGGCGCCACAACCCTGTAGTCTTGTCTCAGCCTTTAGAGTTTTTGTTGTTCATGAAACATAAATCATAAGGAATCATGTGTGCATTCTTCATGCATTTTTAATGTACAGTTATTGTATTTGGACAGACATGAAGTTTGATATTAGAAAAAAGGGTGATTCTAACTATAGTTTTAACCTAAATAAGGCAATAGGCCGCATTTAATTCCAAAAGTTTTTTGGCTGACTTGGGATTTGGCTATCAAAGGATGTAATTCCTGTTATTCTGTAGCGTCTCATTTTGTAGCAACTTTTCAGGCCTTTTCTATAAATTCAGGTCTCTATTTGAAAATTCTAATCTTGCTACAACTATCTTGATAACTGATATGTTTGTCAGTACTAAAGATAGGCTAAGAATCCTGTCATTACAGATGCGATTTTTATTTTTATTTTTTTCAAAGCAAAATATCAAACTACTGCTGCATATTGGTAATATAATCTGCTGTAACATTGTATTCTAACCTCATTTCATTTTTTGTCCTTTCCTCACAGAACTCAAGATGGTGCCAAATTACCAAATAATTCGGCTCCGGAAGAAACTGAGAAGGATAATACGCACAGAAGGAGAAAGAACTCATTTGCATTCCACTACAAATTTCCCCCAGGACATATCATACATATGCCATACATGTAGATGCACTAGCGTAGTCGGGAAAACGGAAGCCTAGTTCTAGTTTCATTTGATCTAGGATTTCTGGCACGACACCGACGATGACCACGTCTGTGTACCTCATGTCAAACTCGATGGGATGGCTGGTCACTATTCCAGCCGTCGCCATGGAGAACCTGATCGCCCTCATCATCATCTCTTCGCGGAAACGCTGGAAGAGTCCCGACGTCCTCCTCTTCTCCATCACCCTCGGCCACCTCTTGTCTCTGCTCTTACCCCTCCTCCTCTACGCCGTCATCACCTTCACGAAGACCCCTTGGTCGGATGGGTCCTGCAAGTTCCTGGTCTGGTGTATCATGAGTTTCCGCATCGTCGGCGCGGTCAACATCGCTTTCATATCACTGGACCGGGTCTGGACACTGAAATGGCCTAGCTCGTACCGTTCCCATAATTCCTCTCGCCAGACAGCCCGCACCGCTGTCTTCATGTGGCTATTTGGTGTCGCCATCGGAACGATTCCTCTAATCAGTTGGAGCAACCTAGAGGTCAACCAGACATGCAGTCTGGTCCTCAATATAGCAGGGTATGGTTACGCCATGTGTATTGTCATTATTATTCTCGGAAGCGTCATTATCAGTACTGGTTGTATATTTACCATAGTGGTCAATGTGGCTTATGTTTGGCCACTGATGGAAGAATCTTCAGATCCCAAAGACACTATCCCTCATATCGTCATCGAAAGCGAAACGGGTGAGAGAACATCGGCAGTGGTTGGGTCACGGGATTCGCAAAACAAGCAGATCTACTACCTCGTAACGACAGTGGTCGTACTCTATTTCTGTATTAGCGGATTGCCTTTCGTGGTAAGTATTTTATTGAAGCATGGATTCTCATTTTGACGAGATAGTCAGGCCTACCTAATCAGTCTATTAATTTGTTAAAGTGATGCATAACATCGTGTATAGTTCAACAAAGTAGTTGAGGTTTTTATTAGATTTTAATAAATGTCAATTTGGCTTGGAACAAGCAAACCAGTAGCAAATCAGTGACAACATGCACACTTGAACTCTTCTATAAAACACTCTTATATTTCCCTTTGCGTCGCTAGACATGGCCTATGACGAGATAGAAACAAAATTACCAAGACGCAAACATACACTGTCGCTCATAAAGTTGGAATATTTTTGTTTTACCCCAATTTATGGAATTATTTTAAAAATAATTTAAAAATAATAGATCTAGATTAAAGTATACATTCTCAGATTTTATTGAATATTAATTTGACAATGTGTGTTTTGCGTGACTGCTAAAGCATGTGTATGCTACTATGCTTATCAACTAGGGGACCTTCACCCTTAAGTCATAAATGACAGTAATGATGATTAATGCCCCAGCAAAGGGCACTAATGTAGCACATCGACACGGTTTTGATCCTGGGACCTCACAGTCACGAGGCCATTGCTTTGTCACTGAACCATGACTGTATGCAGCGGGGGCTAGGGTAGGGGGCAGTTTCCATAAATAAAAAACACAGAAAATGCAATGAATTTTCAATAATTTATTGCATTTTACCCCTGTCCCCAACATAAAAAAAATCCTCTGGACGACCATGCATTATGGCTCAAGGCATGGGCACACATAGGATTTTTTTAATGTTGGGAACCGGGGTAAAATGCAATAAATTATTGAAAATTTATTGCATTTTCTGTGTGTTTTTTATTTATTGAAACTTCCCCCTACCCTAGCCCCCGCTTCATACAGTCATGGTTCAGTGACAAAGCAATGGCCTCGTGACTGTGAGGCCCCAGGTTCAAAACCGTGTCGATGTGCTATATTAGTGCCCTTTTCTGGGGCATTAATCCACATTACTGTCATTTATGACTTAAGGGCGCAGGTCCCCTTGTTGATAAGCATAGTAGCATACACATGCTTTAGCAGTCACGCAAAACACACATTGTCAAATTAATATTCAATAAAATCTGAGAAGGTATACTATTATCTAGATCTATTATTTTTAAATTATTTTTAAAATAATTCCATAAATTGGGGTATAACAAAAATATTCCAACTTTATGAGCGACAGTGTATATACCATGGTAATGAAAAGGCAATGCGAATTTTTGTCAACAGTATTGTATCAGATTTTTAATGTACCTATTTGTCATTTGCAGACATTAACACTTATGAACATTTGTGTAACAGCAGAAGGTACTTGACATAAAACTAATTATATACACGCATAAATTATCTTGTTGGGGTAAGCATATTGGTTTACATTGTTCTGTCGGAGATATTAAATATGATTCCCAACAGACTCGTAAAATACACTGCAGGCACGTTAATGTTGTTTACGAGCACTTGCATAGGTACATTACGTACATAAAGTATAAGGAAAAACGTAAGTAATAAATGTGACAATGAGAATAAACGTGTTTTTTTGCTCAGAGCACAGTTTTATACAAAAACACACACAACACAGTTACAAATTACAGGCTGAAGTGATGGCTGAATCGACTCAGGAATTCACCGTATAATAGTTTTTTTTTTTTAAAAGGGAGTATTAAAAGCGTCAAGAGTTCGCTAAACATGGACAACGATGCACATTTTGTTTGAATCATATTGTTTCAGGTTGTAGGATGATATATAAAAATGATAACATTTGTCGATATAACATTATTATAAGGGTAGTGTCAATCGCAAAACATCGACGACGATGATGATGATAATTATAATAAGAGTAATGACAATAATGATAATGATAATAATAATAATAATAACCATGAAACATTAAATGTCTGCTAGTTGCTGTACAAACCAAATGTGAAACATAATACAAAGTGCAAATCATTACACAAACTACCGACACCCCTGTATCATGTGCGTGTTCAATGCACAATGTATTCAATGCCTATATTTATAACAGAGAATACGGCTATTCAAGCTACTCCCTGGGGCCAAACACGAACTCACATTACGACACGTTTTTCTCATTCCACCCTTTAGGTCATCAACATCATTGCCTTCACGGAGGACGTCCCCGCCCATTGGATGTCGGTGACCATCTCCTGGTGTACGATAGTGTCAGCGTTCCTGCATCCGCCTCTTCTTGTCCTCCTGTGTAACCGCTACAAGAAGGTCTGTGTGCGGTTCTTCCGCTACGCCGGGGAGAGCTGCGGGTGCATCACCGTCACACCAACAAGACCTAGATTGAATGGTAATACCAATCACATAACCCATGTACACTAGTGTAGCTTATGAGGGCAACCCCCCCCCCCCCCCCCAAAAAAAAAAAGAAGAAAAAAAGAAGAAAAAAAAGAAGAGAACTAGATGACGGAAATAGAACAGAAGAAATAAAAAGAGAGGAGAAAGGGAGAGGGTGAGAAAAGGAGACGATACGACCCCTGTCGCAACCAAACCGATACACAACTCATCCATTCACACAATCTAGAATACCCTTAAGACCGGTGACGGTCGTCCACCCGAGTGCTGACAGTGCCTAATCACGCTACAACAACTCATATAATTTATTTATGTAATCATAAGGTCTCATTTTTCCTCCTAGGCAAATGTATCTTTGTTATTTTAATAGCCAACGGTATCTTGAAACGTGAAGCATATGCACAGAGCATTGTTCTAACAGGAAAATCGAGATGAAGGAGAAGAGAAAGGGGAACAATACTCTCGATGGATAGTCTGTAGTGATTGTTTGGTGCTGATGGGGAAGGGTAGGAACAGAAATTGTAGATCAACAAATGCAGTCTTTATATTTGGCCTCTAGTCAGAGAGATTTACTGCTCTTCAACTACACCCATTCAAGCGCTTTGTCGCGATGCCCTTTCTCTCTTTCAGTTTCACTTGATAGATCATTCAAAAGATGTTCAATATGATGATCAAAAGACAGTATACATTTTCTCATTCTATCGGTCTGTCTTTCTTTCTGGCTCGTCTTACAGTGATTGTATGTTACCGGTTTGTGTGTAAGTGGGCATGGGCAAGTGCAAATGTTTATGACTGACGTGTACAATGTGTTACGAAGGGAGCCTTTTCCAATCTCATAATCTTTGTCATGTCTGTATTCCGACTATTATTTCATCATTTTTTTGTTTACTGCTTAGAGTTCCATTGATATGTAAATTTTACATGATTAAGCATTCAGGTTTACATGTTTGAAAATTATGGTGAAAATATATTGAAAACGAAATAGTAATAATATTGCTTCTCTCTTCCAACTTGTTTACATTAGGAATCCAAAGACAGGAGACTTTCGACTCCTTGGATGACTTCTCATCTGACGAGGACGACAAGCTTCACTTCCCGTCCCCGGATTGGTCGGACAGATCGTTCTCTGGGTCATTCGATGAGAGCCCCGGTCCAAGTTCCGAATTTACCGACGAAGTCCCTGCACCAACTACAACGCATTTTCAAACTGTAACCGTGGTCGAACACTCGCACGTCGTCCAAAACGGAAAACTACCACCGAGGAAATCTCCAAGAACCCAATCACCAAGTGCGCAATATACGTCCAAAAGCACTTCAAAGACGGCATCACCGACCGACGCTACAGTGGAGTATGACAACGCTGCGTTTGTCGTTGAGGATGAAAGCAGGAAGGGAAAAAGTAAAAGACAACGTAGTCCGAAGCTAACCCCAGAACAGAAGAGGGCGATCTGGCAGGGCCATAAGGGTGCCAGGAAAAGGCTTGAAGCTTTAAAGCAGGCCAGTGCCGAACGGGCGTCTTCTTCGCATTCATCGAAGGGGAAAAAATCCCGTAGCAAAACCCGACATGAAAAGCATGAGAAGCATGAAAAGCATGAAAAAGATGCTGATAAGATTCTTAAAGATAGTTCACCCGATAAGAACAAGCATAAGCGACTTGAAAGGATCTCAACGAGGCAACATTCTTTGGATAGTTTGACGATTCCTACTAAACGGAGGGCGCCCATGTTATCCTCAAGGTCGTGTGATCAGCCCGATAATATCGTGACTGTGAAAGTTGATATTGAAAATAGCGATGGCAGAAACAGAGTTGCGGATTTTGTTCCGGAAGAAAAGGAAAAGTCCTTAAACGTCAAAGCTGCCAAATCAGAAGCAGGAACCACTCGTGCCAAAAAGAAGCGCAAAAAGACTGATAGTAAAGTAGAGCGGGCTGGGAAGAAGGATAACCTCGATATCAAACCACAAAAAGATATTAAACCACAAAGGGACCCAAAAATCCCAAATAGTCCGAATAGCTCCCCGAGTGCACACGAGAAACGCAAAACAGACGGCAGTACTCTTCAAAGGCCGCGTTTTGAAATAGCACGTGAAAATTACAACTCGGATTTCTCAAGTTTCGGATCTGGTGAGCTCTACGACATCCCCGAGGAATCGCCGGAAGAAATGTTGGGTGAAAGTTCCGGATGGAGTCCGTCAACCGTTAGAGCGATCAGATCGCAGTATAAACATGAGGTATTGCCCAGAGGGGATGCCGGTCTAAACCATGAAAGAAGCCTTGCTCAGAGAAAGCACAAGGACAGGGAGAGACAACGGGCGAGGAGTAAGGCAGATTACGTGGAGCCTGGCTCTCAAGTCAAAAGTCAGAGACCATCGAAAGCCTTGCTGAGTAGACAACTCTCACAAGATCATTCAACAACTTTGGAAGTGACTTCAATAGAAATGACAGAGCTCAATAGCCTAGGCTCTGCTCTAAATAACACTTTCGATCATTCGCAAGACCACAACAATGACATGTCATTTGACCAACCGAATGGTGTTAAAGAGACTGCAGTGGATAATGACCAATCAAAGTATTATACATCGGGAAGTCTCCCAGAAACAAGTGGGCTGTCGGAAGACTATGGAGTTGAATCAGAACATTCGATGCTAGATGAACCCTCAACACCCACGGGCGATCACAATCAGGATGATGGATATCGTACGGAAGAAGGAGAACAGCGTAGTTTTACACTCCAAACTCAAGGATGGTCATCGCTGAACTCTCCTTCAGGAAATACCCTGAGAGAAAACGAAGTCCCTGCTGATCACAAAGGACGCTTAGCCAAGAGCAGGTCAGCCGGAGATCGTCCTTCGGCCAAGGACATGAGGGAACGGTACAAGAAATCACGTCTAAGTATGGCGGCCATATTCGAAAGTATCTGTGATGATTCGCAGGAAGTCGTGTATCTGTGAAATAAGTGATCAAGCAATGTGAGGTATTAAATAATGTAAATCTCGGTATAAGATTGATCGACATCAGGATATTGAAGGTCTTTCCATTCCCGAATATACTCTAATATACTTAAGGACCTTCACAAAGCAGTCAAAATATCTAAAGGATGTCTCAAAGACAGATTTGATCATGCAACAATGTATCCACCTGTTCATAATCTTGCACTGTTGACAACGTGGTGTCAAAGAACTTACTAAGAAAAGGATCAGAAACGTTCGTGTGTTTTCGGGTAACCATGATGATTTACATTGTTCTATTGGAGACGTTTTAAATCTGATCAAAATATGATTTCCGAAAGTCTCCTGAAATCCAATAGGGTAAAAGGAAGGCACCGTGCTGATAAAATTTGAAGGGGATATTTTTTTGTTTAAATTATTGAAGGGTAGATCACATACCCAAATAGTCATCAGTAAAGATTCTAACCACTGGGAAAAAATATTTTTGGTGCTTTTTTCTATGCGCATTAAACAATGTGCTGGAATGAAAAATCCTAAGTTATAAAAGGTAATATACAACGCTCTACTTAGATTGTATTATCACATCATAATTGATCGGTCTAAAATCCTAGATATTCTCTGTTTGTAAATACTCTGTGAAAAGACGAAAGCTACATTATAAGTGCAAGATAAGTCAAGTGCTGGTTGCTTGAGGAAAAAAATGTCATATATTATTCATGCAGCATTTAAATGCGCGCTAAGGTATTCGACGTGAAAGTTTTCTACTATGAGCTTACTTTAATATATAAACAAAATCTTTAAATTTATGCAAAAAAACGCACGATATTTTCATTTCAACTACTTATATGCAAACGCGATATCCATATCAATGTGTATACTAAAAGCATGAATTTGTTCACAATGTTTTGCTATCTCCCAAGTTATAAAAGACGTTCTTTGGACATAAATAAATGTTGTAACGTCATCGGAACGTTTTGCGAACGCCTTGAGAACGTTATGTTTTGAATTTAAATCTTATATATTATTATTTCATACATTCCTGTAGAAGCAAGATGTACTTCGGTATAACTACTTTTTATCAAGATCGTTGTTATTTCGTTTTCTTTCAAAAAATTAAAAAGACTCGGGTTATAATACATGTACCTTTTTGTATGATGTGTTTGCATTAATTCCAATAGTGTAAGCTCATGTTTTATTGTAAAGCCTTATCGCCCTGATAGATGATGTTTAATATACACTTTAGGCTTATAATCGGTACCTTGAAGTATTTTGAGATTAAAATTCCCCTCCATCTGAAATTTAGAGTTCATTTCTTTAATCGAAGATACTTAGTAAATATTGTCAGACGCAGTCAATCTAGCCTCAATTAGAATTACATTACAAAAGAGATTTATTTACAGTCCATCGTATGGTTATTTGATAATGTTTTTTTAATGTACACATAATTATATAAAAAGAAGGGCACTACAGTGATCACAAATTATGTTGTCAGATCAGTTATAGAGTTAAATTGAACACAAGTTGAGTAAAGTGTTTATCGTATTGGAGAAGCGCTAATCCATCATAACATTACGGGATATTATCGACAAAGGTATTTTTTGTATATGGTAATGAAATAGTATTCTACACACGGCAAAGTCTAGAGCAACATCGGAAATGTATTAATTATTGTAAATAAGTTAAAGATTTTGTTAAGCTTTCTTCTGAACAAAAATGATTTCAACCAAACTTACCCGTTTGGTTGCCTTTCATAAAAGTTTTCATGGATTCTAAAAAAATTTATTGTGTCTTGATGACGATGAAACGAATATCTTTCTCAAAGCCCTGTGATCAATTTTAATTGCACTTCTTATTTACTACCTGTAGATATTGGTGCACATTGCATGGTCGGGGACTTGGGGTATTCTCGTAGGCCTATCTAAATCTCAATATTCGGTGTTTTATAAATTGTCATGGTCCTTACAAATATTTGTTTTGTTTGATACCGAGGGTCCCCCTCGAAGCTATAAGCCATGTGGACGCACTTTACTATATAATTAAACGCCAGTTTGTAGTTAGAATGAATGCTTGCCCGGCTTGTAGTTTAAAGGTAATACAAAGTTTTGGTATAGGGTCATGAATTTGGTTCAAATTAACATGTTGTAAGCATATACGATCCTATTATATTTGATCGTTGTCGCGGTTGAAAAAGAGTCTAAAGTGATGAAATTGTGAATAATAAACTCTTCATGTTGTATAGTTCCCTCCCCAGTTTCATATTACTTTAGCTTCAAAACCATGTTCCTTGACTACAATTGACCGATTTTCTTTTCCCTTTTAAAATTATTTATCAGACCTGCATATTCCGAGATTTTCATGGTCGCCGCTACCATTGAATGGCTGTAGGCGCTATTTGAAATTTATCGGGATCACCGATAAATTTGATATTTCAATTTCTTGACATCCTTAGCGTTTTAGAGCCTAATGTTTTCAAAGTTGCTTATTTTAACACTTTCATAATCCAATCATGTTTAAAATATTTCCACAACTTTGTATTACCTTTAACACTTTGAATACTCGTTCTATCCCGTGTGAACCCCTGTCGTTGTTAATGGATCGTTGTATATAACTTCGAGGTTTCACTAACCTCAGGTTGAAAACCACGACGGTGGCGTGTATACGTATATATGCAGCTCCTTCATGAATCGATGTATACATTCAATCATTATGGAATGTTGCGTTTTTGTGGTAAGTGCCTCTATATAATAAGCGGAAAATTCTATACCTAAACTAACAAACATAATCGTGCAAATCGAATACGTAAGTGCTTATAGTAATCACTTGTATCAAAATATACTATTGCAATGCGGTTAACCAATAGTGCTTTTTACATCTATTATATTTGCATTCACCACTGTATCATACTATCATCTTTGATATTGCATTATGAAAATCCTGAACACTGAAAAATGTGCAACAAATACACCTGTGTGTGCATTATGAATGTCACCTGCAACCTCTTCTTTTCAATAGTATGTGCATATATGTTTTTGACTAAACCACAATGACTATAGGCCCGTATACTCTACAAATCTTCAAAGCCGAGTATGGGTGTAGGCTTTTGTTCAAACTGGGGTTTAAAGGGGAATTCCACACTGAAATTAAGTTGGTTCTAAAAGAGGCAGAAATGAAAAGAACAGGTCAGTGATAATTTGAGCCAAATCCGGTTGAAAATAAGAAGTTTATGATTTTGTGAAGTTTCGATCAATCAAACACGAATTGGCAACTCTTGTGACTTTTTTTGGGAGCTGGTCCACTTCGCTCATAAACTCTCATTTTCTTAGTAATTGATGACGAAAAAGATTTGTTTCATACAATGGTTGTATATAACATATTTGCAAAAAATACATTGAGGGTACATGTATGATTGAACATTTTCTTTAGGGCAAAAATAGAACTTTCTGAATCCTTTGGTACAGAAAAAATAGAGAGGACATCGCAAGATACGTCACAGAGTTCTCAACATGTGTTTTATTGATCGCAACCTCAAAAATTCATAACTCTGTCTCTCGTTATTCCGTGCAAATTTTCTAATTTAGTTTCAATAATTAAGATTTTAAAGCGGGATGAAATAAGCAGTGAAATAAAAATGAGAAAGTGCCCTGTTTCCCATAACGCTGGAATAATTATCCATTACTCTCTAAAAAAATAAAATCAATCGATATTCACTCCTTAACAAGTGATCCCTGACGTCACTCCCAAGAAAGTGAAAAAAGAGTACCTCTTTCATGAAATGATTGTGAAAATATGGTTTATTCTTGATAGATAAAGTGTAAATCTTCTCAGCACTTCATTGATTAGTCTAACTAGTCATAAAGACATTGAGGTCAATGTATAGAGATTAAATGTAAATAATTTCTTTTTCAAAGCATTAGCAAAAGTATTGTACCTTGGCAAAAATTTGAACACACTTTCCTCACAAAAGCACACGTTCTGATTCTGAATCACGAAACATATTATCATGTCCACATCGATGCCGATGGCCCTCGAAAATTTGAAAAATCGCACCCCCCCCCCTTGAGCGCCAGGGGAGGGGGCCCATCCCCCCAAAAGGTAAAATTAACGTGTTTTTAGGCCCCCGCCCCCTAGATCCGCCACTGCCTAAATCTACCCCTAAACCTGAACTAGAACTCAGTAACAACCCTTAAATAATCCAATTCTCCGTATTCTACTTATTCAGTTTGGCCGGACTCTGAGCATTATACAACAAAACCTTAGACATTAATAGACTTTCTTCCTTTGTTAAACCCGATTTTTAATCAAAGCTAAACCTGGCGTCAGTTTTAAAATTTAAAAGAATATACGGGCCTATATTGATAACAAAAGGATAAAGCCCGGAGCAATTGTCACCAAAACACTCACTTCTTATGTTTTATAGTGTGTTATAAAAAACAGAGTTCACACTATTGCTATATGCTCGTCTCTTACCTTTCTGTTTCATATTATTACAAACTTATATTTTCTACATAAATGAATCTGTCTACAGGACTATTACCTGGATAAGAACATGTAAAATGTATTTTTTCCATGATTTTATGTCGCAATGATTTATGAATTATGATTCTGCTATTTGACAGACAAAAGCTGATGCAAAATTTTATACCATTGTTGTTTTATTTTTTGTGTATTTATTCATACCGTCAAAAGTGCAATTTTATCAAATAAAAACACGAAGTCACAATAATGGGTTTCTTTTGCAATTATTTAAATAATTCACTTCGGAGATACATGTGTTATCTGCGCAAAGTTGGATAACGGTCATTTTGTACAAAACTTTAAAATCCATGGGCCTATATTTCATTATGCCTAATGTATTCAAACCCGACCCTGTGTCCAAGATCTCGTTTAACAAAGGAAAAATTAGACTTCGGACTAATTTCCTTTGTAAAACCCAATTTCGAACAAAAAAAAAGAGGACCTTTATCTGCCCATGCACAGATATAAGATCTCCAAAATGGATTATTGCAGGATACGAGCTCATATAAGTAAAGTTATCATTATTCATTTAGGCTCCGGCGGTACATTGTATGATATAATACAGGTGGAAGTATTCTTTCAAGACGGGCAAACAAAAGTTATTCAAAAATCACCTCCATCACTTTGGTAGTAATTATTCTCAAATGCACACCGTGAGACATCTTCATGTGAATTAACGATCTGTGGATATTTGGGGGTCAATAAATATTAGTGCAAGTGCTATCTCCGAAGTGGCTTATAACAGAATTACACGATCGCAAATAGTTTCGAGAAATCAACTCTATGGCAATTTTACTTAGCCTATTGTACATCCTGTATAAATCATGTTAGTTTAGGCAACACTTTAGGCTTATAAAATGCACAATAACTCTCTCTCTCTCTCTCTCTCTCTCTCTCTTTCTTTCTCTATATATTTCTCTCCGTATCTCTTTCTCTCTCTCTATTTATCGTTATAACCATATTTTCAAACAAAAAATCTTTTACTCGTTCTCTGTATTTCCTCTCTTCTTGACACTTCATTCCCTTTCTTATTCCCCCCCCCCCAATCTCTCTCTAAACCGTGCTCATGGATCTCGATGTGCTCAGTGACATTTCACTTATTTTAGTGTGCTCATAGAGGGCGCAATCTTATTTCTCCAACCACTCAGAATTGAGCTGCAGGCCTATACAGTATTCGATTATAAATGCAGGATGTGGCATCATGTGGGCAGCCCTGTCAGTGTAGCCACAAGAACAAAACGCTTTATTAAATTAAAACAGTTTTGGATTGGATTTTGCCGTAACCTTAACAAGTTTGGGCAAATATCAGAAAGAAAGAAAACATTGTAGTGTGCGAAGAAAAAAAATAGGCAGACAATAGATAGAACCTCTCTCAAATCTCAATCTACCAATGACTTAGCCACTGGCTTGGCCACTTAAAAACGATGTGGTGAAGATTTATTCTACTTCAAATCTAACAAATAAAATACTCCTTTACATAAAACTGAACAAGATGTAATGGAATTGTTTTTTTTCCAGCTTTACCCATTGATGAATAAGCTTTTAGTATATTGATAGAGATGATAAAATGAGCAATTTACAGTTTTTGGACCACCCCCCCCCCCCAAAAAAAAAAATAATAATTAGGCTTAATCATGGTCAACGTCTTTTTTCTCGGCCCAAATTTGCCCTATACTACTATAATACTATACAAAATATCCTATCTGTACTTGTTTTTATTTTGTTTTCTCAATTTACAACATTTTTCAAAGAAAGAAAAAGAAAACAAAGATGCTTCATGAAAATTAAGTATGCACAACAAATAACATGAACAGTGCAGTGCATGCGCGCGCAGCAAAGTGAGTGACCTCATGACGTCATACAGCTAGCTGTTCGAACAAAGTTTGAGGAACAATAATCAATATTGTTTTACTTTAGCTAGTTCTTATTAAGATTCTTGAGGCCCCAAACCAGAGTTTAATCATACTACGTTTTCTGAGAAATACTAGGAGCATAGGTGCTAAGTGGCTTAGTAAACGTGGGATCTAGAATTCTGACCTGGAGTTTGCTTTACACACACACAGTCACTGAGTCAGCGTAGGCCTAGACTTCTGTCCTTCTGCTAGCGCTGGACCGCCTAGCGCCGGGCGCCTGTTGACATGTCCAGTCCACATCGACAAGATACATTAACATTTAAGGTACGGTGCCGCAGTTCATTAGTTAGTCTAGATCTACGGTAGATAAATTGGAAAAACTTAACAAGTTAGATTCTGGATGCCATGATATACATTTAGTTTGTAAGAGTTATCGACAAGACGTAAATCGAAATTTGAACTTTCATATTTTGATTATTGTAGACCCCCCTCTAATGATTTTTAACTAACGTTAGATCTAACTCTAAGTTAAGTTACTAAGTTAGATCTAGATCTAGGCCT